TGTATTTGGCAGCCCCTGTCAATTGCTGTCATTAAGCATACTTTACTGTGATGTATGTCCCTGAGGTTGACTGGCTGTGTCCAACAGTAAACAAAACTGGCCAATCCGGTGAAAGGTCACAGAGATAAGGACGGTATACTGTTCACCTGCACGTTGCCTGAAGCGTGAGTTGTAGCTGAACATTTCCCAGTATATAAGTCAGAATTCCTGATTTGACCTCAAATCAAGAACGCGTTCAGTTGGCTTCTGTAAGAACGACTTAACAGTTAACAGATCCGTCTACTCCAGCTCGGCACATAAAAGACAGTAGTGTGGCGCAGTAAGTATACGAAGTTCACTTATTGTATCAGGGTTGTCAAGCATTACTTTGCTTAAAACATGTAGATTTGTTGTTAACCTTGATATTAGTAATATAATATCACCTTTGAAGAATGGGTATCATATCTAAACCATGACAACACCCTGTTTTTCAATGGGGTCGGTCTTTCTTGGGTCTACCTGCACATCGTTAAATCCGCTCAATTTTACTCATCTGAAGAGTTAATTAAACATTGAAAGCAAGTTAACTGTACAATCAAATTGAGCGCCCCCCCCCCTTGTGTAACGTTTCAGGGTGTAAGAGACCTAAACTGTGTTTCAAAAATCTTCAAATTTTGTGACGCTCTAGAAAAAAAATTCCGATGTATGTGATTTTCTCGGAGTTACTGTACCAGTGTTACAGGTGTCAAAGTTTTCAAAGGGCTGACCATGGCTCTATCGAGTTAAGAAAAATTAAGTTTTCAGAAAATGAAATGTCAAAAGACGTTTTAAGCATTATAGAACGGTTACCAACGTAACAGAAAACTTTAAAATTTTCAGGAATATCCCACAAATGGTCCTCAAAAGTCAGTGTTGTGTAATTCTTTTACTTCGAGCCTGTCCGTAAGTTTACTAGAGGCCAATATAACTGGGCACAGGGGCCATAAAACAATAAGTAAGAAACCGCTTATATAACCATGGAGATAACTTCCTCGTGACTCAGATTCCTCTGACCATTAGATCAGACGCTGGACCCCGCGTTATAAAATGACTGGGCAGATCAGGGCAGATGCGTATTCTGTTGATAACGCACGTACACGTGGTACAGCGCGCACGTTCCCTGCTCCCAGTACCCGGTGTGTCAGTGCCTGTGATTGAGTCCTATTTTTTCACAGTATTTTCCATGTACTAGTTACAGTAAAATTTTATTATTACTGTGTTAATACATTACGGTACAGCCAGCAGAACTCACATACTGAAAAATATGATATCAAAATGACACAAAATCGAAATTAAATTAATTACAACATTGGTGTAAAAAGTGTCACATTCCTTCACTCATTCTCAGAACACAATATAAAACTTTATAAACGTCTTTTGTTAAAATTACCGAAAATAATTCACTTAATGTAGTCTTTACAATTCCAGTAAGTAGACTACACGGGTGAGCAATGAAACTCTTCAGGTCATTTCTTGAACATATTAAAGTGCTATTTTAAGAAAACGGTGACATTTTTGTAATATTATGGAAACCACAGGCGACGGGTGTAGAATATGGACACGCATGGTTGTTACCTTGCGAATCTAAAAACTGCAAAAAGCGACCCTTAAAATATCACACGTAAGTGCTCATTAGAATCAGTATTGTACTGGTCGGTGTTTTGTGCGATTTGATGAGAGTTATAATGTGCCATTTTAAAATCCATCAACCGATAAGGTTACAGCCACCAAATCCGTTTTTACAGCGTAATATTGAACGTCTTCCTTTTTTTTCAGACAAACCAGAAAATGTACATGACCGAGGAGACGTCCAAGTTCCGTCACAAGCCCGCGGACATTGCTCTAGTCGTCCTGGCAGCAGTGGCGTACACACTGTGTATCGTCTTCAACGCGTTGGCAGCGAGTCCCGCTGGGGTGTCAACAGGTGAGTGGACAGCAGACCCGCAGGTCAAGGGGGTGGGTTTACGAGGGGGGGGGGGGGGGTCCCCGTCCCTTTTCAGAAAACAACAGGGTGTATTCTGCTCCCTTACTTTTTCAAGAGAGGAGGTAACACATATTTCCTAAGAAGGCAAAGATGAACCCTACCTCAACCCCTAGATCAATCTGTGATTGTAATCCTTAGATTTGTCGTTCACCGTGAGAGTACAATAGAATGACACACGTGGCTGATTAGATTTTACGTAATTTAAGAGTCCAGTTGACCCCTTCCGAACCATGGAATTCATTCAGTTCTATCACAGAGTACAGGCGTTATGAAAACAACGTTATCTAAATCGTTAATAATTACCCAGAACTTAAACTGAATGGGTCTCACCTTAACGATAAGGGTCACGGTAAGTTATGTCAGTGGTGGGGTGGGGTGTGGATCTGGGTGGGGTCTTACGACTCTCTACTAGAGCGTTTAAACTGACATGAAAGATAAACGACGAGATAAAAATACCAAGAAAATGTGTAGTATTGAGCCATACTTAAATTGAGTTATTCTTGAAGACATATATGTAGTTATTATTATAATTGCTATATAAATTATTCATTTTTAGCATTTTCAGTTATGTCAAAAATATTTTTGTTATACTTAGGTCTGTACCTTAACAACACGGGGGATATTGCCGACTATTTCTATTTAGAAATCACCCCGGCAGGATGGATGTTTTCTGTTTGGGGCTTCATCTACACTTGGCAATATCTCTGGATTATCTACGGCATTATCAACATATTCCGTCGCACGGATGACGGTTATTTCTACGCCGTCTATCCCATTATGCCTCCCGCCATGTACGCCGTCTTCACCGTCAATAACATCGCGAACGTCGTCTGGCTGATTCTGTGGGACCGGCTGTTATCAGCTTGGGCCTTGCCTTGCATTGCCCTGGTGCCATTCACGCTCTATATCTGCCTGTTCATTTCATTCCGACGACTGAACGACAATAAAGTGACCATGATAAATCAAGGATACAGAAAGGACGTCTGGTTGACACGATTTTTAACCCAGAACGGCATGGCTTTCTACGCCACGTGGACGACCATAGCAACCCTGTTGAATGTCGCCATAGTGATGACGTACGATGGTTCAGTCGCCATGGAAACCTCGTGCACCGCTGTCTTGGGGATTCTTGCAGTGGAGCTGTTGTTTTGGTTCACTCTTGACAATTTTGTTCTGGACAAATTCACACGTTATTTATTCAGTCCCTTTATAATAATCCTGCTCGCGCTGACGGCGAGTCTCGTGCAAGGTTATGATCCAACAAAGACCAATAAAATTTTCACGATGGTTTTGTTGGGCATTGCAAGTGTCATGGCGATCACTAAAGTGGCTTTCATGATTTGGCGACACAGAACGCGCCCTCTAGAAAATTAATGTGAAATCAAATGAATCACTAACGAACAATATCATTATTTCAATATTGTAATACCGAGAAATCATGTTGGTGCTGCCCTGCTCTTTATTGTAGAACTGAAATATCCTAATACTGTTAGCCATCTTAAAGTGAATGCTTTCATTCATGCAGTTTTTAAAAACTTAGATTTCACAACATTTCGACCTTATCTCAACGCCTTCTTCACTGCTGACGTGGAGTCCCTGGTGTCACCTGGTGACAGTGTGCGGGATGTCAACCAGTTCGACAGTCGATATTTCAATCCCATATTAATCTGACTGTTTGGGGTCATTTGTAGTGGATATGCTATTTTTGTGTAGTTGTCGGAGAATTTCGAGACATAGCTAGTGCCATTTAATTTATAACCGTTTAGTGTTTTTTTATACAAGTTGAATTGAATAAAAGATTGAAAAACAGACTCTGTAGTCAATGTAACATTTATAAAATGTATTAATACTGAGTGTAAGGGTTGTGGAAGTAGCATCTGTCATTTGCCAATAATACTGAAACATAGGATTGACCTGGGACAGATTTATGTCTCCTGGCACTCCCAGCCCTATATATATATATATATACATACTTCAAATAGGGGAGACCGGGGCTAGTTGGACCCCGGGGTAAGTTGGACCCCCATCATTTTATGACAAAGTAACTACCCGCTACCAGGGCGAGTGATAGATTTTTTACAGATATTCACAGATATGTCTCTAGCTAGATAGATGGTCATTTAGGGCTCAACTCACCCTGTTGAGAAATCTCAAGGCTGATTACATAGGCCTAGCTGATAATTGTTTGCTTAACTGCTCAGGCACTGCCACTTAGCAGGTCCAGTCTAAGTCTGCGTGACAGCAATCAAGACAGTTAATTACTCTGACTTCAATCACTTGCTCTTCTGTGACAGATAAAAAAGCCTTAGACTGGTTGCGTAACGAGCAGTTATCACATCGTTGTGAAGCTCAGCTCATGCAGAGCAAGTACAAAGCCTTTGGCGCGCGCGCAGAGATAATTGTTTCCACATGGGATTCCTCAACAGGGTGAGTTGAGCCCTAAAAGACCATCTATCTAGCTAGAGACATATCTGTGAATATCTGCAAAAAATCTATCACTCGCCCTTGTAGAGGGTACAAAGTAACTATGGGGTAAAAGAATTGATCACATCATTTTGTAAAGTGACCGCATCCAATAGTGCTAAGAAAGCGTTGGCAGTGAGTCGAAATGAAATAATTTAGCATCTTAAAGTAACTTTATTAAAGAGACTTGATAGGCCTATACACAAAACGATTTAATTAAAATAAAAGCGCAATATATTTATCGTTAATCAGCCTGATTAATTTACCAATTAAAGGTTATAACCGATTGACGTTGAGGAGGTATTCGGCTGAGTAGGCCTATAAGTTGGAGGTGATGATGATGATATGGCAGTTCAAACTAATGGACGTCCAAACAACGTGTTGAAGAATAAAAATATATACATCTTCCCGGTTTACATAACCTATTTCAAAGATTATAAAAAAGATCAGTGTCTCTAAATCTGCCATTGTAATAGTTGAGACATAAGCGCAATGCGTTTTCTCCGCAAAACACAAAAACCGATGACGCTTTGTTTTGTGTGCACGCTTTAAATAGCCTGTATACAAAACACTGCTGCAAGACCGCTGTCAACATCCGTGTTTCTTGCACAGTATTTGTGTTTACTGAAGGTAAATATATGCATGGTGGTATAATATACATTTTTATTATAGTATGCACTGGCTAATGTGAATATGGCAAGAGTGGCTCTGTAAATATTACGGTATGCCGGTGACCCAGCTCTCGTAGCTGGATTAAGCACCGCCATTTTCTTACTGCTCTGTTCTCTTTCCTTTCATTATAGCAATAGTGGTTATATCAAGGGTATAAATCTGAAATATGCAAGGAAATGTTTTCATATGTTTTTGCTCTGCTGTAGAATAATTGTTCTGCAGATGAAAAAGGCATCAAAATTGCTCAACTCGCCAACAAGACGAATTGTAATGTTTGCTCAAATTTTACTTAAAAATGAAATGTATGCAAACTTTTGATACGAATTACCCCTTTTAAGCTGAAATACAAGCCAATTTTGTAATGAAAATACCCTTTGACTGCATGGATGAATGTGTAACTAGGTCAAGGTCATGAAAGGGTCACTGTCAGTAGGTCAAGGTCATGGCAGCTATGTAGGTCACTGTGACATTGCATTATAAGCTTAATGACTAAAGAAAGATTTAAACTATTGAGGCTATATTATATATATATTTAAAATATGTAATGTATATGTGGATGTTAAAATGTATTTCAGAACATGCCGACCAGTACACTACCGCCCAAGAAAAAGTCGTACGTCCCTGAGGAAGAAGGTAGGTATGTGCATGCATGAGTACACATATGTACAGATGCTTGCATTTTTAGCATGCATGCGCAAATATGTAAATAAGTGTGGATATTGTACATGCATGGTAATACAGTTCATAAATATAGTTTATATCCTGAAAAAATGGCAAAACATTAAAAAGATGCCTTTTATTTGTAAGATCATAATGCATGCTAGTTCAAGGCATCACATTGTTACCATTATGAATGTGAAAAGAAATGCTTAATAGTTCATACTAATATGTAGAATGTGAAAATGCTTAAAGAGAAAACAAAAAGAAAACAAAAATGGTCTGGAATATGTACACTTTCATTATAATAATCACACTGTATATAATATGGACATATTCTCTTGGTATCAGAGAGTGGTGTTGGCGGCACAATGCACCATGTCACCACCACTGGCGTGGCCTTTCTGGACAGTTTGAGCGAGCTCCCCGCCAAACGGGCACGCCCAGAGCGTCTTCCAAAGGAAGAAAAATTGGTGGAATGGTAAGAATGATGTTTGTAAATATTCGCTCATGCAATGAAAATAATTCATCAATGTTATTTTATCATATCACAGACAGTTTTTTACATATTTCCTGACCTTGTCTGTCTTCATCAGGACATCTTCTGATCAGTTTCATGCACAAACACCTGTAGTCACTCTGTCTTTTGTCCCGTCTACATTGAACAGTCTCAGTGACATTAACATAAACCTTTTGAGTTATAGAAATTCTCCTTAAGATATTCTGAAAAAAAAAAAATTAACTGTTGAAGTGATTTACTATGTCTACAGTAGTTTTGAAATGTGTATTGAGTTATAGCCATGGATTGAGACTGATGACTGCAGGCTAATATTATGATGTTCACCCTTGAAACAACAAAGATGGTTTTTATTGTATTATCTAATATTTTAGGTTAAAGAATAATTTTGAGAAGAAGGAAGAAAAGAAAGTTGCAAAATCTGCGGCCTATGAAAAGTACCTTGAAGAATGTTCAGAGAACCCGGCCTTTGATAGTCTGGCACTAGACAAAGGGGATTTTTTAAAGGTGAAAAGTTTGTTTGGTGAAATATTACTAGACTGTATTTTAATAGGGTTTAAAAATTTGGAAGCATGAATTCAGTACTTTTATTTTAAGGTATGCTTCATTCTTACCATTTCTGGCACCTCTGCTTTAACGTTGGTATAACCTTGCTTTATTTCTTCAGAAGTTCTACGATTTAGTCTTAAAGTTGACTTTCAGGTGGTTAAAGAGATATTTGATGGTACGTTTGGGTTAAAAGAAAGCTCCAAGTATGTGGGTGAACTGAGAGAGGTGAAGACCAGACCAAACCGTCCCAAGGTGAAGGCACCAAGTTTGGGGCTCAAAATGAAAGAAATTATTGAAAATGTCATCACAGAAGCTGGGAATCCTGTATCTTTTTACTAGGGAGTTTTCCACTTCAAGCTGCCCCTAGACCCCCATTCATAGGCTATCAAGCTATTTCTTCCATCTGTTTTCTTACAACCCCAAATCATGTTTTCATAACTAATACAGCATTTAGCCAGCAATTGCAAAGAAATCTAATTACTAAAAACGATTATTTTTGTGAAAGTAAAAGTTTTCCCACAGTTGTATCATAATATACTGGAAATACAAATTTGTTGCTGTTTAAACAGCATCAAAATGCTTTCTTTACATGTGCCTCGGAAGAAAGGTTTATGAAAAAAAGTTTCCCATAATTGTAGTGTATCAGTAAACCAAGCCTCTCTCCCTTGGTACCGTGTAAACAATTACAAAAACACTTCCTTAACATCTGCCTCAGAGAAAAGGTGTAAGATTTTTCTTACTGAAGACTCAGATCGCCCACAAATACCCAGCTCTGCGGATTATGGACTACCCTGAGAAGCTGAAGAAAAGTCTGGAGAGGGAAGTGAGGATGGGACACATTGAGGTGGTAAGTGAACTGGTCACATGTATTCCCTTGTGGAAATTTCCTACAGGACTCGATGGGGCTCTTCAGGAATTCTATTGAATGTCCTAGGACAAATGGCCTATAGAACCTTACAGAGTTTTGACACTGTGGGACATCCTATTGGACCTTATAGAAAATTTTCTCAGGAGTTATTTTAATAAAGTCTCATAAATGTGGAGATTTAAATTGTAAACTCTTGCTCATGTTGTATCTGAAGCTGTAGATAAACCCGAGCTCTACCTTCAGGTGCGTGGCATCGGCGCCTGTGGGTACTACCGCTGTCCTGGTGACCCCCTGAGGGAGGACGAGGAGGAAAACAAAGAAAACAAGAAAGAAACAAAGAAGAAAGGAGATGAGGAGAAAACAGAGGAGGGAGATGTGGAGAATGCTGAGGAAGGAGGGAAGGAAGGAGGAAGTGAGAAAGGAAAGGAGGAGGAGAAAAAGGAGGTATTTATGTATAGTAATAATATTTTTAGTTCTGAGCAACCATTACTCTCTGAATGCCAGTATCACATTTTTGTAAGTCATTAGTCCAGGGGCCTCAAGTTTTCTTTTTACATAAATTGTAATTTTATTGAGCTAAGTCCATGTTTCATAGAGTGCATGTGTATATTCAAATGACATTGTAATGCCAGCAATGAAAATAAAATGGTCAAGAAAATTTAGAAGTAAATACCTCTTTGAGTATGTGACAGGGTTGAGGGTATTTAAATATTGTGTTTGTTGTAATAGGGAGAAGAGGGAGACGATGAAGCTGAGAAGAGTGCCGGAGAAGACAAGAAAAAGAAAAAGAAGACTAAAAGAAAGCAAGCCAGTTACTGTAGGTACCATTTTAATTGTTTGAATTTGGGTTTAATAAAATAATGTCTGGCTTATAAGGGGTTCATTTTGATACTGATTGCTTATAAATTGTGGGTATATGTCTATTTTTACGAGTCCTGTTCCAAATACCAACCACATCAGTACTATATTTGCATATTTAACTTTTAATCAACAGCATACGGCCAGCGTATAGTGCACAGCCATCCGCAGAAAATAGAGGACACATTCCCATTGGCTCTTACCTTTATGGCAGATCCCAAGCACGCCACAATGGGGAAGATTAGCAATTACATCAACCGTTACTACCCCAACGTCAATATACAATCTAAGTAAGTCATTGAGAAAAAGGCAGAAAGTTTAAAAAATTCTTTTTTGAGAGTTGGTTACTGCATTGCTATTACAGTTGTTAAAAGTTTATTTTCCAAGTTTGATACTTGCTTTGAAGAGGAGTTGGAAATCTGAATATGTTAGTTGATGAGCACATGTTTAAAATACATTTTGGAAAAGAGTATTTTTTAAACTTATTTGTGTATTTCTAGATTGAAGAAATGTCTGGAATCAGGAGAAGAGAAAGGGCTCTGGGTCAAATATTCTGGGAGTTCATACAGACTGGAGGCTGATGAGTTTGACCCCAGCAATGGTGAGATAGAATATGTCATCATATATCATACATATTGTGATGTAAGATCCCTTATGAAATTTTCTTTAAAACACTTAAGGAATTCTATCAGACATCCTGTGGGATTCCTATCTAGGATATATGTCCTATAGGAACCTGTAAAGTTTGGGCTACTATCCTATAGGATCCCTCAGGAACTTTCAGTCAGGGATATATCATCACTATACACTGGGTAGGAAAACTCTTAATTGTAAAATGAATAAATATCTGTTGTATTTGATGTTTACAGTTGTATATATAGCTTGCATATCACAGCAGTGGTTGTTTAATGCTTTCACTATTTTGATTGCATTGAATTAATAGATTTGGACTTGAAATGTTTAACAAATAAAAAGAGAGAAACAGAATTTCTGTGCTCTAAACTCCAAAATAGACAAAAACAATGCAGGTTTTGAACAATCTGAAGTCCAAATGGAGGTATTTTGTGTATCTGGGATTTCAGAGGACAATCTTCCCACTCTGATCTGCAATGCTATTGTGGCATGTAATGAACCCAAACAGTGCAGCTCCAAGCTACTGAAGCAGTATATCATGGACTACCACCCTGACTTTAAAGTGGATGCCAGGCCGCAGCTCTTCAAGAGGGCTGTGGAGAGAGCCTTGAATAAGGGGACATTGAGGTGATGGGTTTATTATTATGTTAACAATAAGATTCCAACCCTTTCTCCCTGTGAGGTGCTTTATCCAGGTCTGTCATTTTAATAACTTTCACATTGATTTTACATGAACCCAGTTTCTTTTCAAACTTTTGACAATATCACATTCACAGGAAACATTGTATTTTGAATTATAAACAATTGTTGTGCTTATATTACATCATTCATAACTGATGCCATATTTCTCCATTGGCAATCTTCCAGACAGCTGTCTGGTATTGGACTAACAGGTTCCTTTCAGCTGAGTAAACCTTTCACCCCCACCCCCTCCATGTTGGCTGGTACTGATACTGGAGACACTGATGATGAGGAGGGAGGAGAAGATTACTGGGAGGACAGCAAGGTAAAGGAGATAAGAATGAGGGCCACTGGGATATAATAATAATAATAATAATAATAATAATAATAATGTATTCACTAAAATCACAACCTGAAAATTGAAGTTGCACACATAAGAATAGAGAGAGATTCAATTTTTATTGCACCAATTTTCTATTAATTTTAAGAAGGGCTCGTTAATTGGTTTTGGAAAGAAAATATGAGTAAGTGTTGCCAGTGTGAAGCTGGTAAGAATCAATTATAGCCGTTCAAAGACAGTAACTGTCATTGTGTTTAAGAAATTGAGGTAATGTCTTTTTTCCCATTCAGGTGTATGATGCATACGTTCCAAGGCCGTCCAAGAGAAGAGGTCATGGTCGTAAAGCCGCCATTCGTGACCTTGACCAGCTGCAGATCAGACACGAGGTTAGCCGGAGGAAGAAGTCCACTGTGACTAAAAAGGGGCGAAAGACTACTACCAAACGCAGGTCGTATAAAGAGGAGAGTTCTGGCAGTGAATCAGAAAGTTCTTCAGAGTCGAGCTCATCATCATCATCATCATCATCAGAGGAAGAAGAGGAGGAGGAAAAGAAAGTGGCAGCAAAAACCAAAAGGAGGCAACCTCAAAAACAGCAGGGCAAACCTGCTAAAAAGACACCCCCGAAAAAACAAGGGGCTAGAAGTTCACCAAGGAAATCTCCCAAGTCTGTGTCATATGTGGAAGAGACAGATTCTGAGGGTGAAGAAAAACCAGTGAGATCATCTGGCAAAAAAAGTAAAAGATCTGCTCCTGCCAAAAAATCCCAAGCTGAGGAAAGCGACCAATCAGAAGATGAGGCTGTCTCACAAAAGAAGAGTTCAAAGTCAACTCCAGCATCTACAAAGAGAGGCAGAAGATCGGCTTCAACAAAGAAATCCCAGGACGAAAGTGACAAGTCAGAGGAGGAAGATGCAAAGAAGAGTCGAGGTAAAAAGTCGCCAGCAGCCTCACCTAAGAAGAGTAACAAGACTTCACCAAGGAAGAGATCATTTCAGGGCAATAGCTCTGGTGTCCCACCCAAAAAGAGAGGGCGGCCATCTTAAAGTTCACTAGGAACATTTCTAGAACAATTAATAAATGAACTAGATCACAGTGAGAGCGAGAGAGAAAGAAACATATTATATTGTGGTAAGGGGCCACTGCCAAACCAATGTTGGAAAAAGCGAGCAGTATTTTCCGAAGTTTGTTTTGAAGACAGTGTTGGAATGGCACAGTGCAGTTTGGAATGGACATAGACCAGTTGGTGCTGATGGTTACTGTAGAATCATGGTCACTTGTAGCATTAGAAGACAAACATTTTGATAATTTGTGGTTGAGGTAGTGGACCAGGTCGGCACAATACAGCATTAGACTAGAGGAGTGACCCCCTGGGTGAGTGTCTGGCTGTCACCCCCTGGGGTACTGACTGGATCCCCTGGGGGACACAACTGCTAGAAGGTTCACTGTGACATAAATAGAGAAGATTTCACCTCTAATGATGAGAATGTATTGACAATTTTTGATGACAGCAGATATATGCTGGTTCCTTTTTTGATGATGAAAGAAAAATTCTGTTATAGTTGTGGATGTGTGGTTTCTTGACTAAAGCGCCAGCTACAGTCTGCAAATGCATACTAGTTACTTTATGGAGTTTCAGAATATTATTGTAGTAACACAGTGTGTGTTTGGTACTGGTTGACATATTAGAGTGGGAAGAGTTGATGTTGACACTGAGTGAACACTGTGGAAGGATATACTTAAAAAAAAAAGCAGGAGTGAAAATGTTCGATGTGTAGGTGACCTCACAGTGAACCGAGTTGGTCATGTAGCTCTTGCAGTCCCGGCTGCCTTGATTATCAGACTGGATGAAGGTGGCCTTCTGCTGTACTTGTGACTCTGAAAACAGTGACAGCAGCCAAGTCATTATTTGGACTCTGAATGCATGCTGATCATTTTGTTTTCTGGTTTGCATGAATGTTCATGTGGTTTGTTGAATCATAGAAACATTGTGTGTATAGTGCAGGAAGGAGAAGTAATATGGGGTATGTTGTTGGCAAAAGTTATTTTCATGGAAAATTAATTTTAAAATAGGTACCCCCCTTTCGACTTCAAACGTGTCTTGAGCTGATATTTTTGTAACAGTTTTAATTAGTTTTTGATTGTAATTTATAAAGCCCCAATTTGTAGCTAGCACATACAAATAGGCTTCAGTTTATCATTTATTTTTAAAAACAATATCATGTGGATATTAGTATATGTTGTAGTTGTTGAAGGTCCTTAGTGTACTTAGTACACATTAGTAATATATACACACCTAGTACTAGTAACTGTATGTAGTAATGTACATGTTATTAGTGTAGAAATGAACATTGTTATTGTTAATAGGATGAAGTGCACAACTTGTGCCGAGGCCAGTGTCCTGTGACATCACACTTTGTAATTTTAAGTTTAGGAAGGTCCTGGAAACCAGGCTTGGATTTCAAGTGAGGGGCTGGGGGGGGGGGGGGGGGGGGCTCTGA